TTTACATTTTCTAGAAATTTCGTTTACGCTCCTGTTATTTTTTCCTTACATATTCGACTTACACTCCGAATTTTTAGTTTTCGGTCGGGAGGGGGAGGGGGGGGGGGGAGAAGTCTGCCTTGGTTTTTATGGACAATTAGAGATTTTACGAAACAAAATACCGGGTGTCGATCCGTGTTAATTTCGGATACGCTCTCTCGGGTTACGTTGTCTCTTTGTGGGACGGCTGTGCTACGAGTTGTTGGTTGGGGCTATGTCTGTGTCAAGTCGGTGCCAAGAAGTCTACCGGCGCGCACGATAACCAGCTGCACCGGTAGACTGCCTGTTGCCCGCACGCGGGCCCCGCGGGGTCCCGCGGGGCCCCGCAGGGCTTCGGGACCGGTTATACTTGACCCAGCGCGCGATTCGTTGCGCGCTGCGTCCGAGACCGGATCATGTTGTCCGCTACCGAAAAACACACACGTTCATGCAACGAGCATGGCTCCCTCAAAGGTGCGCGGATGCGAGTCGAGAACGGGGAGCCACGACATCGACGTGGCGTGGGATAAAAGAGGAGGGAGTAGATTGGCAGAAATTCACAGTTGGGAATATACGAAACTTCGGCTCAGAGACGGGCATTTATATGCAGATACGGAACAAATGATAATAATGTAATGTTTCGTAAATTACACGACCTAATACAACGGCATAAAAATGAAAATTATAATAGAAATCCTCATCTTGATTATTCACGCTACATCTTAATTTTACAGATTTATATTGTATAAATATTCTCATAATTATAAAATGAATAGTAATATATTTTTTAATTAGATATTAACATTGGTCTTGTCAATATGAAAAAGAAAAAAAATAAAATATAATATTACTTTTGTATTTGAAAAGACTTAATGAATATATATCATTATACATATACATATTTGATGCATATTTTATTTTAGCTGGATAATTGTTTAATATTTATATAAATACATACAACTTTATATTTTTCGCAGTTACTTTAAATTCAATCTCAATAACGAAGAATTGCGTACAGAGATTTCGTCTAATTTTGCTTAATTATTAACTTAGGACTAATAATGTAATGACGAAAAAAAAATGTATTTTTATTCATATAATATATATTAGAAAAACATTATTTACAATGCTTTGCAATGCTCAGTCAATAAATTACTTAACATATTTCTCCATAAATTTGCGATGGAATTCACTTCGCAAGGAGTCATTGATGAATACGTCATGTTTCTTCTTCGGCTCGGAACGCGCACAATTTTTAAATACCACGTCATCGTCCCATCGTCTTCGTACTTTCATATCCACTCTTCCGCTTTGCGAAGAATAATTTAATAAAGGATTCCCTGAAAGAATATTTTCCATACGTATCCTCTCCTCTTCTTGGCGCTTCTCCATCTCCTACAAAATTCAAAATACGTTCGTGATATTTTATATTTATTTTTTGGACATTTGTAAGAAAATAAAAACAAGTCAAGATATTTTAATTGACAAAATCAAATTTTTAGTACACACTTTCTTAGCTTGTTCTGCTGCTCGTTCCTTCTTAATCCTTTGAAGTTCGGCTAAGAGCGCAGCAGTGTCATCTTCATCACTGTCTGAATCTGATTCATCATCAAGTGGATCATCAGCATCTAAACTAGCTGCGGGAACCTGATCTAACTTTTGTCTCTTTGTACTGGATGCAGTCGATTCTCTGGAAGGTTCGATGGCACGACGACCTGATCCTTTATCCTTCTCTGTCCGCTCTCTTTCCTCCAATTCCTTTCTAAAGTCACGATTTCGCAATTCCTCGATTGTTCCTTGACCATGTTCTCTGTAAAGCAATAACATTAAAATAAGTATCATAAAATATCCTTTATATACATTTCTTCTGCATCTTATATTTCTATATTTGGTGTATAATGTTATATCTTTTGATAAATTAAGAGTAACAGTTGTATCTTGCTAA